TTATTTTTGAAGGCAGCAAAAATGCTAGATATGATTTTTTTCGGTCCCTACTTTTAAACAATACATATATAATGTAAGTTTTAGGATCGACAGACCAATGCATACAGTAGTATATAATGTAAATTTTAGGATCGACAGACCCCGTCCGCCTTCGAAAAGAATTACTCATTTGTTCATAAAAGCGAAGAAGTTTACCCGTTTAAGATGTGAGTATTTTATTTATAATCGATCTGAACTCTGTTATGGTGTAATTTCCCAAGTGGGTAATATTTTTGAAGGCAGCAAAAATGCCAGATATGATTTTTTCGGTCCCTACTTTTAAACAATACATAATGTAATTTTCGGATAACAGTTATAACGACCGAAAAATCACTGTCCGCCTTCGAAAATAATTACCCAAATACCATGTATTCATCTTAGAAGAGATTATGCACTTGGAGAAGTCATTTCGTACAAAAACGATCATTTCAACTGCTCTATTTAAGATCTATAGAAAAAGCTTTCTTTATCTTGAATCAGTTAATAAAAAATTTTCGCAATCCTATTAAATAGATTTTTTATTTATTTTTTCAGTCAGTATGACAAAAACTCATACTTGCATTTCTTTTATTTTAGGTCAAACTTGGATACAAATATCCAAAATTTTGAGGTATCTACTAACAGATATGGAATCTGCTTTGAATGCGATAGATTCCGCACTACCCTAGGATGGTGCCAAAAATGCCAGGCCGATGAATTGGCAAGTGAATTTTCTAATTGGACAAGTGGAAATAAAGACCTCGATAATTTAATTCAGATAATCCAAATAAATGCAACAGAACACTTTGATTGCCTGGAATGGATTCCATGGAATCATTTTGATGTTGTTGAATACGCGGGACAAGGAGGATTTGGCACGGTCTATTGTGCCTATTGGATAGAGGGGCCTAGACGAATATGGGACGAGGAGGTGGAAGACTGGTTAAGAAGTGGTCCTACCAAAGTTGCCATTAAAAAAATCAAGAATTCAAAAAATTTTTCAAAGCAATACTTGAATAGGGTACGAAATATCAAATTTTTGTTTGCCTATGGTGTTCAACGTGACTTATGTGAAAAAAAACTTTATTTTAGATTCTCATGTACCAAAAGTGTAATAAAAATCGATCTCTCGCAGATTGTTACGGGATAACGCGTGATGCGACAGATTGTTACGCGTTTGTCATGAGATTCTATGAAAACGGAAACCTTTATCAATACCTTGATTATGCAATGGGGACTTTATGTTGGAGAGACATTGTTGATATGCTTTGGGGAATATCCAGTGGATTGGAACAAATTCACAAAAATGATCTTTA